AGAAACACCAGTAACCATAAACTTAAAATTATTTTAATTTTAGATTAAATAATTAGAGAATTTAGTTATTCAGTTTTTTAGTCAAGGCAAACAGCCAACAGTGCTCCATTGGAATCAAGCTAGAAAGTGAATGTCATCTTGCAACATATACATCATTGCTTGGAATCAAACCTTTTGAAGATATTCCTGAATATGAAAGAGAAATATTAATGTGGAGGACTTGGCTCTCAATAATCAATGTAAAACCAACAACTTGTCTACATCATAAACATGTTTATTTGAAGCGTTATGCAACTAAATTAACACGGGGCTGCAATCCATTTAATACTCATAACAAAGTTATAAAAGGTATTTATAGTAATCACAACTTTTATTTTGTGAAAATGTAGTGAGTTGCAATAATGAAATTCTTTGCAGCCAATTTATTTTAGCTATATTTAGCTTTACTTTTAGCTGACTTGTAAAAGTGCACTATTAAATGCCATACAAATTTAAATTTAAAATTTAAATTTGTATTTATTACAATTTTTATACATATTAAAAGAGTTCTTCCATTTTTTTAGGCAGTCTTCGTGAAATCAACTTGGATTCAGCAAAAGTACTTATGCAATAAAGGCAAATTCGTAGTGCCAGGTAAAAAACTTTGTCCACAATGCAGACATAAATCAAGTAAAGAATCAAGAGAACGAGTTGGAGATAAAATTAACTAAAGATAATATGGAAAAAGCAATTATACTGGAATTAACAAGATCATTGCTCAACAGTACTTTGTGTGAACTTGAAGTGTCTTCGCTAAAAGTTCATTTACCAAAAACCTCTAACAAGCCTTCACTTGGAATAAAGATAAAGGAAGTTGAAGAAGCAGTTATTAAGAAACTTGCAACTGTTCTGGATGTCACAGAATCCGATCTTGTTGCACCTAACAACTATGAAGCTCTAAAGGAAATTGAAACCAAAGCTGACGATCTAGACTTCCTTGTTGAATGCATGAAAGAGAAACTTAAAGTTTCTAACAGAAGGCAGCAACTTCAAATTTTGACATTGACACCGAAGTCTTGGTCTATCAGAAAAGCCGCAAAAGAGTTTTCAGTTTCCAAACACAAAATTCAAAATGCAAAGCTTTTACGTGACCAAAAAGGCATTATTGCATACCCCAATTTGGTTGAACAGCATCGAATCAGTAAAGATGTTATAGAACTTGTAAAGCTTTTTTACTGTGACGATGAGTATTCAAGGCAAATGCCAGGTAAAAAAGACTGTGTAAGTGTCGGGAAAAAAAATACGTGTCAAAAAAATTGATTATGTGCAATCTAAAGGAGCTCTTTGTGACATATAAAATTAAGTACCCAGACCATAAAATTGGATTTTCTAAATTTTGCAGTCTTAGACCAAAATGGTGCATCCTTGCTGGTCCATCTTACCATGAAATCATTGAAAAGATTGTCTGCAGCAGAAAATCAAAAGTTTGCATGATTTATCGATGCAATAGTTGTCCTGGCATACAAGCTGCCCAAATTTATTTCCAGCAGTATCTCACACAAAATGATGATCCAAAAGAGCAATATGACAGTGACGAAAATGAACAGTCAGTGAATTTCAAACAGTGGACAACGACAGATAGAACTGAAATATTAACAATACAACTTCCATTAAATGAATTCATGAGCTCCTGTGTAAGAAACTTGATAAAATTACTTCTCATTCATTTATAGCAAAATCACAATCTAGCTATCTAAAGCATCTCAAAGAAACAATTAGTATTGATGAAGCTATTATACTGGCAGATTTTGCAGAGAATTACACTTTTGTAGTACAAGACGAGATACAGAGTTACCATTGGAGCAAGAGTCAATATTCTCTTCATCCAGTTGTCATCTACTACAAGAAAGTGAAATCGGAAATATCTTCTTTTTGTGCAATTTCAGATGATTTGAGTCATGATGTTGGATTTATCAATGAAGTTATGCATAAAACCATTAATCATATAAAAACTCATCTTTGCCCCGCAATTACAAAAATTCATTATTTTTCTGATGGCTGTGCAGGGCAGTATAAAAACTGCAAACATTTTTACAATTTATGTCACCATACTCAAGATTTTTCTGTTCAGTGCATCGGGAATTTCTTTGCAACAAGCCATGGCAAATCTCCATGTGATGGAATAGGTGACACTTTTAAAAGGCTTGTTTCAACTGCTAGCTTGCAGAGTCCAACAACAGGTCAAATACTATCTTCTCAAGCAATGTTTGAATACTGCCGAAAATCGGGGATGTGGATTACGTTTGTGTACGTCACTGCGGAAGAAATGGAGCTAGTAAGAATCAAACTTGCTGATAGACTATTAATAGCAACCACTATTCCTAGGACAAGAAGTTTCCATCAATTTATACCTTCTTCTCATTCAATTATAAAAATGAAAAGGGTATCCGATGATGATGATTTTGCTCTAACATTTGACTTCCTCTTTTCTGGCTTGGAATAGTTTCTGAAGTTGATAAAGAGAATGACGATTTTATGGTAAAGTTTATGCATCCAAATTATCTAAGTCGGTCGTACTACTGGCCAAAGCAGGATGATAATTGCTGGGTGCCAAGAATAAATGTCATTTCTCTTGTTAAAACACCGTCAATATCTTCTGGGTGTCAGTACCACATCACAAATAAAGACGAAACTCTATTTGAACATCTTTTATCTTGTCAATGAAAGTTGATGAATATTTTACTTTCATTATTTAAATTATTTAAACTTCAATTTTAGTCATATTTGGTTTATTCCTTTTCCTTTTTGTTTTTATTTTTCAATAAAGCAGATTTTTTACTATTTTTCAAAAAGGTTTGCATTTTAGTTTCTTATTTTTTAACACAACAATACCCTATTATTAGACATATAGTAATAATGTTACGTTAAATTATTACAATTAATAAATAAAGAAATTATATTTTCAATGTTTTGTATAGTAAATTATATTTTCATGTTTACTTTTGAAAATATTGATTATAAATATGCAAGTTATGAAAAACATAATTTTTTTATTTTCTTTTAGAAACCTAAACTTTTTTAAGACCCTTTATTTCACAAAAGAGTAAGGCAACTCCAAAAATAAGGAAAGGTAAACCATGGTTAAGAAATAAAAAAAATTTAACTGTTGATATTTTAAAATTGTAAAATTATTCTCAAATACTAGGAATAGGGTTCATTTATCTTTATCTTTGTATTCAATATCTTTAAAATTGGCCAGGTACCAATTTTTAGTCATATTTCTCCACTAAAACTTTAATTATTCACACAAAAAGTATCGCTATAAAGTCTATAATGGAGAATAGAGGCTAAAAAATGATTTTTTTTTGTCTAAATTTCAAAATGACATATCTTAATAATTCTTGAAGAAACCAAAACCATCTTTTTTATAACAATAGCCTTGTATCACTTACTTTGTTTGAAAAAAAAAATTGAATCCACGAGACTTGGGCAACTCCGGGAGTTGATGGAAGCGCAACCTATGGTAACAGAACAAAAAGGACTGACCATTTTAAAATCAAAAAATAATCATCATAAAATTTAAATTTCACTATTTGCTTTACATTTTTGAATTCAGCACCCTTAAAAATAGTAAGGAACTCATTTTTAGCCACATTCTTTTACTAGATTTTAAATTATTCATTAAAAAGTACAACTACAAAATCCATAATGGTGGACTTGGCAAAAGAAGGAACGTTTTAGACTGAATTTCAAAACGTCAAAACTTTTGAACCATTTGGATTTGGGAGCTCAAATTTTGCATTTTTATATGTTTCATTATAATGTACCACTGGGTAAAATTTAAAGAAAATCCAAGAGGTGACTGAAATGACTGTCCCAGTTTTACATGGAATGACCCATAAATGGTTTTTATTAGACCATTTACAATCGATACGCTTGAGCGCATATTGATAATACAATAATTATTGTTGTAAAACAGTGAATTTTATTTGAATATTTTACCAGGAACGTAGAGCAACAAACATTATATTCAAATTATATTCAAGATCACAAACAGCAGCCTTTTCTAATATTAAACCAGCTTACCCACAATTCATTTAATATCAACAACACTTACCCACAATTCATATAATATCAACAACACTTGAAACAATAAAATTAAAAATCATTAGAAGTATAAAGCTGATGATTATATTTACAAAAAACAATTACAACTAGTTAAATAATCAAAAATTACATTCATTATTTATATTTTAATATTAATAAATACTAATTTAAAATAAAGTAACAAACATTTTATGAAAACAGTAAAAGCGTGTTTTAAGCAATAAAACAAAACCAAATAAAAATGAAAACAAAACAAATTTTAAAGTGATTTCTAAAATAAAAATATTGCACTTCTATTATAAATTCTATATATGAAATTTTAATATAAAAAAAAGTTAAATAAATTTTCAATAAAATAGATTTTTTTTATAAACATGTTCAACTTTGCAAGGTCGAGGGAACAGTTAAAGACGATATGATCTTTCAGCAACCCTTTAAGTCAGAAACACGAACCCAAGGGCGGATCCATGGGGGAAGGAAAGGGCGGTGGCGTTCAGGGCAATCGCCCACTCCCCTTCTTTATATTTTTTGAATTTTGTTTTTTTGTTTTTATATATATCACTCTACATGTTATTTGAAAAATAAGGAGGTAAACTAGGTTTAAATGAAGACTATTTAAAAATGATATGAAATTTGTGGGCTCGCCTGCCCATAAATCCTATAATCTAAAATCCTCCCTTCTACCAGATGGTCAGGATTAATCAAACCAAAAAAACTTAAATCGCCTCCCCCCCTTCTTTTTTGGATGGTCTGGTTCAGCCTCTGCGCGAACCTTGACGAATATATATATATATATATATATATATATATATATATATATATATATATATATATATATATATATATATATATATATATATATATATATATATATATATATATATATATAGATATATATATAACAAACTCACATATACAACAATATATAAATATATAAATATATATAACAAATTCAATGTATATAAAAAAGTTATATATAAAAAAATATATTATAAAAGTTTATTTTATTTTTTAACTCGGAGGCGTTAAATGAATTCTTTCATTAGAATATTTTGGACGATTAAAAAACGCACACTCCCGCATATGGTTTCCAATAGCAGAACAATCTGTAAAGTACCAGTTTCTCATCTCAGAACAAGACGTGGAAAAAAAACGAATCTATAGCATAGTTTTTGTACTTTAATATAAAAAATTAAAAAAAAAAAAAAATTAATTTATTATAACATTTTTACAGGTTTGAAATATTTTGATAAAGTTGAAAATATATTTTTAAAAATATTAAGAAGACATTTAAAAACTAAAAAAGTCCAAGAACAAATTAGTCCAGAACCCAGAAAGTTGTACAAAAATTGTTGCTATATGTGGAAATAAAACAAACTTGTCCACATCCTTTTTCGACAAATAACATATTTCAAATCATTTTGGAAAGATAGCTTAAGGAATAGCACAGACTAAACATGTGACCATTCTAAAACAGTTAATCCTTTGATCAGCACGCATAATTAAGATATTGAATAGCATTGACTACCATTAAAAAAAAACGAAAAAACAATAAACATTGCAGAAACATCAAAATTTGAAAGAAAAAACAAAGCAAATAGTTTTACATTGCACAAACTTATGGCAACAATGCAAGAGTTAGAAATATTATAGATGTTTGCAAGTATAAATTAATTTCTCCGAAATATTTTATCTTAATATATGATGCATTTTAATGAGAAAAGTGATACTGGTCACACTACTGGTAATAGTGGTCACACTACTGATATTGGTGACTAGTGATTCTAAAAGTATTTTGAATTGCTAGCCTTTTCATGAAATATACCAAATCAAAACATAGTTTTGTCTTAACCAACCATTTTCAAAGTTTGGTCAGTGATATTTCTGCATCTCAGTAGCAGGCAGATAGCAACCTGAGTGCAGGATCTGAAAAAGAAAATTTATGAGGTGATGTGAATATGGAGTTAGATAGCGAAAAAACAACTTATAAAATTGATCAACTTATAATATTCCACAGCAACAAAAAGTGTGAAATCTGAGGTGGAAATAGAAATGTAGGTGATTTAAATACTTGTGGTCATGTTACCCTAGATATAATTGCTTATTGTAATCTACAACCTAGTGTAACCAACAAGAGAAGCCAGTTTAGGGTTAGAATCGACCACCATGAACACGAGTTCATGGTGATCAATCAAACCAACTGATTAGTTGTCATGTTGTTCCAGATGTAACCAACTTACAGTTGTTGTTCCAGTTGATTTGACTTACAAACCAATGGATAGATGGCACTCTAAACTCTTTTCAAATGAAGATCTAAATGTTATAATAATACTCTTGACTTTTTTTAAGCTTACTTGACCAATGCTCTTTTAGAACTTAAAGTTTCTGGTTCTGCAAATATTTTTTTAACATTCACCTAGAAATTAATAATAATTCTTACGTGAAGAATTGAAAACTTGAAATCTGCTACAGTAGTTGAAATAAAAACATTTTAAATTATTAGGTATCATCCATAAACCAAGTTTAAATATTTATTGGCTCATTGATGATGTTTAGACACCAATCTTTTTAAAAACTGTATCTTAAGACCCAGGGTCGGACTGGCATTTAGGGCCCGAGGGGGGGGGGGGGAAAGTAAACATAGAGGCAGGGTTACCTTATATATAAAAATTTCCCTATATTACATATCAAGGACCTTCTTTTTTTTAAGGGCCCATGAGAGAAGGGCCCCTAAAAAAAAAGAAGGCAGGGGCCCGAGGGGAAGGGGAGAGAAACCCTAACCCTCGATAACTTAAAAAAAGCTAGCGATCCTTGTAGCCAAATCGCTGTCTTTATCGTAACGATTATAGCTAAATCACTTTTATTCTTTTAAGGTAGGTTGTGTTTCGTCAATATATAAAAAGTAAAAAAGCATGACTCTGAATTAAATTGGACTATTATATATTATAACTTTCATACATCCCCATTATATTACGATGTATGATGACAAAATTCTCAATTGCCTTCAAACCTTGAAGAAGTTTCTATTTCTCTCCATAACAACTCCAACTACATTTAGATAAATGTTTTCAAATATACCATACCATTTTATTCCTAAAAATATTTTATGAATATGTACACATATCATAAAATGTTTTCACAAACAAAAGTTTTATTTGTTTATCCTAAAAGAAATTCTTCATTAATGGGTGTCTTAACAAAAAAAATGTAAAACTTCGTTTATAACTGCAAATATGCAAAATCATAGATTTATATTAAAGGTTAACTTCAAAATTATTTTTTTATTCATTTCAAAATGGTATATTTTTGATCACCTGACAATAACAAAAAAAAATTTGATTATTTGAAACTAATAAAGGATCCAAATCTCTGACAAAAAACGTCACATTTGTTAAATTCTTTTTAGTTTTTATTTTTCTTTTCATTTATGTAGTTTTTATTTTATTTTGAAATGATCATGATCTTTTACCTTTTGAAATGATCAAAAAAATTCGCTATTTTACAAACAAGAATATTTTAAAATCAGTAATGAAAGGTTAAAAACTATAATTTATAATATAAGCGACTTAGATATTTTATTAGTTTTACAAATACTTTGTTTACACACTGAACTGTGTATTTCATTGACTTTTTGTCTTATGCTGTTTTTTTTTAGACTAATTAACTAATTAACATATATAATAGGGTGTCCCAAAAAAAAAAAAAAAAAAAGCTCACTACTGATTCCCATTCTATGTGACCTAAATAAGTACTAAAAAAAATTTGACGGTTTTATTTTGGCAGGAAGTGCTAGATGTAAAATCTGAGTTTTACTGTTTTAATGTTAAGCTAGCTTAACATTAATAGAAAACACATTTTAGAAAATTAAAACAAAACAATTAGATGGGTATAAATCATTTTCAATTGTTTTCTACTATTTAACTTGATAGATTATATTTATAAATATGAAAATACAAAAAAAATACATGAAAACTAATATTTATTAGCAAATTTAAGATTTTATTGCGGTGAAACATTTCTCAAAAAATACAACTTTTTGAACAGTTCCCAAGCTCCTTTTTAGTCATAGTCTTAGTCAAGTTTTTTCTAGACTTTTTAACTACAAAAAGTACATTTTGAAGGTGATCTTCATCTCTAGTAGCTGAAATAAAATCTTTAATGAGCTTAATGTTTCTTTCTGCACCATCATTTACAACAGATATGTTTTTGATCCATGCAATAAAATCTAGCAACTGAGGATGGTTAAAAACATCTATAGTATTAAGACTATTATTAAGCCATTCTTTTATACTTGCTCTTGATATTTTAAAATGTTTGAAGAGAAGGTAGCTTTGCTCAGAAATCAACTCAGGTAGCTCTGTGGTCTCTCCAATTTGTACATTTGATGGTTTACAACGCTGAAATTCATTTGGCTCTTCAAACTCAATCAGAGCTAACAGCATTCTTAGCTTTGTTTTAGAAGGAACTTCTTTATCCCCAAAGGAAAAGACACAGAGTTGCGGAGTTAAGTACCACGTATGGCGTCCCATGCTGAGAAGCAAAGCATTTCCAATATTCTTACTAACTTTTTTCAATGCATAGGCTGTCTGGATAGATTTCAAATCATTGTAGGGAGCCAGAAATCCTAAAAAACTTTTTAAAAACCATGGAACATAGCAAATTGCAATGAACAAACTTGCATCCTTCAACTGCAGCATTTCTTTTTCTGTCAAGATATTACTGACATTTTTAGTCATATAAAGAGTCAGGATGTAGATCGCATCTGCTAAAAACCTTGCCTCATGGCAGGTGCCAGGTTGATGGAACTTAAAATCTTGTACTTCCACTCCAAGGAAGAAGGAGGCAAGCTTACAAACTATACGATAATCATTCCTTGAAAACACTATATCAGTAGTTGCATTAGTCAAAAATGTCTTAGCTTCCTCTGCAACAGTGTGAAGAACAGAGCCAATCTTCAGATCATCTCTTTGCCAGTCCAATTTACAAAAATTTTTCACTTCATTCACTTTCTCACAGATTTCAGGCCACTTGTTCTTTAGCTTGACATAAAGAGCTCTTCTTAGACTTTTAGTTTTCTCACCAGTAAGGGCAGCCATATAGTGAGATACATGTATTTCATATATGTGTCTCCTACACATTATCCACAAAATTGGTAATTTCAAAATATCTGTAAGAATTTGGACTGCTCCATTTACTCCGCCTGTATTGCTTGCAGTTGTATCACAGCATATACCAATGATCTGCTCTTTATGTAATATTCTAAAAGATTGTGCACTTGTTCTGCTTGGTCAACTCCCATTAAACAACACCTAAAAGATGGTCTTCCATGGTATCGCCATCCGGGGAACTCACTGAGACTGCAAGTCACTCAATTTTTTGAATAATGTTAAGCCCAGTGGTAATTTGTTCCAACAGTTTGGTATCAAAATGAAGAATAAGCCGCCGGCCTTTAAGATGATTAGATATTGAAATCCACTCCAAGTCTCCTTCAAGTTCTACATATTTGAACTTTTTTCTATGAAGTGTGCTTCGTGAAAGCGGTATATCATTAATTTCTATACCTCCAGCTTTAAATACTTCACTTAAAATTGCCAGATGAGGTCATACACCAACATTGAACCTTGTTGCTGGAATAGCAGTACATTCAATGAGCTTTTCAACATTCACTGCTAGATTTATCCTATCTCCAGAATTGTACCTAGGTATCATTTTATAATATTTTTCTACCTATTTATAATTATATACTTTTCAATAAAACAGCTTTAGCTTGTGAAAATTACAACTATGTTATTAAAATAATACTATACCTGCGTTTCCGACCGTTACCCAGGAAATCATCTTCCTTGCTGATTTCAGAGTCCTCGTTTGACTTTTCTTCCTCACTGCTGAATTGAATCTCTTCTGTCATGGAGTCATGTGACAACAAAACATCATTGATATCTTTTAAGTTTTTCTGTCTCTCTAATTCTTTCTCTCTCAACTTATCTAGCTTGTTCTTTCTCCTGTTTGCATCCAGTACTCTTCTACTGTAGTCTTCATCTACTTTTGTTTCCATATATCCTTTCCTATGTAACTTCTGGTCTTCATAAAAACTAAGAAATATTTAAATCTATTAAGCCATTTATAAATAAATTAATAATTGTTCTAGCTTTCTTGGAAGATGACCAAACCATGTAAAGAGTTAAACGTAAATATTTTAAAGGAAATAATATGCTATTACTTAAGTTACTTTTAATTGGAAAAAAAATCTCACTACTAAAAAAAGTGTTATTTAATGAACTTACTTTATATCTTCCAGCTTGGCATCATCTGTTCTCAATCTATAAGCAAGAATATCTTTTTTAAAATTCTTAGTTGAGATGTCAAAAAGCTGATAGGATTCTGTAAGAAAATCTTTCTCTAACTTTGATTGCTTATCAAGACTGCTGTTCCAGTTTAGAGAAGACAATTTAATCAATTTCTTGTATTTTAAATTAAGTTTAATGATTTTGGTCTTTATATTGTACCCACAAATCACAAATTTCTTGCCAAACCCAGCATTATCCCAAATTTTTTTAATCCTAGATACCAAGCAAGAATTATCAGGATCTGTACAAACACCATTTTCACAAACAAGATCCTTGGATTTCGATTTCAATTTGCAACCAACATTAGTAGAAGTGGGTTTGTATTTAACTTGTGACTCGCGAAGGATAAATTGATAGTATCTAAGAATATCACCATTAGATGGAAGCTGTCTCTGAGGTAACTCCCTCAGTGGGTACTTCAATAGGTAAATATACCTCAACCTTTCTGTATTTTTCCGCTTTTTCTTATTCTGTCCTATCATTTTCATTTTTTTAGCTGTTCTACTCATCTTTATATGAATTTCGAAATAATCAGTTTTTTAACTAAATTTTTACTAAATGTTACACTTGCATCAAAAATCTATGAAGTCATTATTCCCTCTCGTATAATATTTTATCTAAGTTTACCGTTACGGTTTTTATAACCGTTTACACGAGAATTTCTTCGTGCACAAATTAGAATTCCGTCGTGCACAAATAATTCCATTGAGAAATTTTTCTCTTCAAAAAAAATTTCTAAATGGAGTTATTTGTGAACCAATCCATGGGGAATTATACCAACTAATAATATTGTCCAGAGGGAAAAATATCAATCGCTAACAATGTTCATAGGGAATGATCCTATTCTTTAATAATATCCTATGGGAATTATTTGTGTACTAATTATTACATTATATTAAAAATACACATATGTGTACAAAACCGTAAAACTCAGAATTTATATCTATCACTTCTAGTCATTAAAAAGTTAAAAAAAAGATTTTGGTAGCTATTTAGGACCTATAGAATAAGGATCAGTTGAGAGCACATTGAAATTTTAAAAAAAGTGTGTTTTTGAACACCCTAATATATAAAGATGAGCTCAAAAAACTTTGTTAAATTTAAAACTTTTTAAATTTATACACCCCATTTTATTTAATAACAATATTTTTAACAATTTGGCAAATTTAAACCTATCAGTATTTAAAGATTTCAAAACCTTTACATAAAACTTACATTTAAATCTTCCACCCAGGAGGAGCTTTTTATTAAGGAGAGTGAACGTTTTTTCCAACAAGATACAACAATCCCTCTGGTATCCAACATATTGTAGCAAACACTTCTAAATGAACTGCATGTTTTTGCAATAGTATTTAAACTGAGGCTGTCAAGAAAAGTAAACAAGTATTCAATTACTTCTTCAGGTAAGTCCAATATTGAAAAAACTATTTGTTCTTTTTTTTTATCTGAAGTACTTTTTATACTTAGGTTTTCTTCAACTGATGTAAAGCAACCAAACACTTTAGAGACACAAACTTTTCTCCCTTTTGGTTTCAATCTAATTTGTGAGTAAGGACAACCGTATGCAGCAAGAGGACATCTCTGAACCATCCAATCGTTCAAATGAGGATAGATGTCTGTATGTATGTTTAAACAGTGAGAAGAATATTGATCCCGACGAAACAACTTTGAGCAAGTAAAACTGTACATTGGATATTGGATTTGAAAACGTGGTAATGTTTCCACAACAACATTTAAACTGAGGGTTTGTTTTTGAACTCTTAAGTCATTATGAACCAGCAAACGAGAATGTATTTCATCTGGGTTTAATGAGTAATCAACATTAACAAATAAATTACTTGAGCTAGCACTGTATTCTTTTTTTGAGAACCTGTAACCTGTAGTTGGTGTGTCATAGTACCCATCAGATATATTAGTATTTAAAACATTTGCAGTAAAGTTAGGTAAATGCGTTAAAACTAAATCGTCATATGTTAAAAAGCTATTGTCATAAAGAGAAAGGATCTCCTTAAAATTTGACGAGAATGTGTTTACTTCTAGAGTAGAAGGCTGCACAAATTTTTCTTTAATCTTCTTTTTACCTAATGACAAAAAAATAAATACACACACAGATCTTCAAAAAATCACAATTAAAAAGAAAATTTTAAAGAAATTTAATTACAAATAAATCATTAAATAACACAGATCAAAATATTTCAGTAGTTTAAAACTAAGCAACTTAATTTAAATAACTAAGTTCAAACAAACAAATGTCCATGTAACAGGTTGGTGTTCAAAGAACTCAACCTAATCAGCAAAATAAAATCAATGCAATAAAAATTAGTGAATTTAGTCTGTGCAAATAATGATACATTATATTATATTGGTATGATAATGAAATGATGAATGAATATGATAATTAATTGATATGATAAATGAAATTGATAATATTGAGCAAGATGCTATGGTAAAGATATTAGGTTCCAATTACTAACAAAATTTGTGCCATTTACTAGACATATGTATAGCTCAACTGTTAACGCCATCTTTAAATTTTAATGTTAATCTTAACTGATAATCTTAAAAGATTTATTTTCTAAGATATAAGATTGACACAATTTTTTCATCATTCTATACAACTTAATTATCAAATTTTTTAACTCATGATCATTTTGGTTAAAAGAATGAAAAATCAAAAAATAAAACTAATTTTATAAATCTAAGCATACATATTCACTACAGTCACCAATCAAAAAGCATAAACAGTTTTTGATCAGTGACAGTTGTTTATATGTACATTTGTATATAAAATCTTTTTTGTTTTAGGAAAGATCATTATATGTAGAATGTGTAAAAAATATTTTTTTGATATCATCAAAGCCACACGGGTTTCTTGGGCATCAAAATAGGGTATGTAAAAGTTATGTTAAAATATTTAAATTGATAATAAAAGATACTTCATGAAATTTTATTGCATCTCTGATCATTTCGTTGGATACCTCACTCCTGAAAATAACCAGGTACAAATTTTTAGGTTGCATGACTTGAAAACCATATATAAACATCTGAGATTCTGTTTTGATGGGACAAGAGGGGTCTAGCCAATATCTACAAAAAAACAAAGATTTATATTTTAGGATCTATTTGCATTTTTTAAGATTTCTAAAAAACTCTAATTTTAAAAAAGCTTTTCAACTGTATAAATTACAGCAAAATCTGAGATGGCCTGGTCTGAGATTGTCTGAGATGGTTTGGGTAAACTGAATTACTCTACACAGCTTTATCTATCAACGCTTTGATAATAATATATAAACATCTGAGATTCTGTTTTGATGGGACAAGAGGGGTCTAGCCAATATCTACAAAAAAACAAAGATTTATATTTTAGGATCTATTTGCATTTTTTAAGATTTCTAAAAAACTCTAATTTTAAAAAAGCTTTTCAACTGTATAAATTACAGCAAAATCTGAGATGGCCTGGTCTGAGATTGTCTGAGATGGTTTGGGTAAACTGAATTACTCTACACAGCTTTATCTATCAGCGCTTTGATAATAATAGAAGAATTGTTCCTTACTACTTATTGGTCCATTCTAGCCAAAAATATCAATATACCAACCACAAGTTCATTCGATTTTTGTGATGCCAGCTCTGGATACTGGGGGCAAATAAGTTTTATACTCCAGGGCTGATTTTAAACTTTTGCTATTACATGCATAACATCATTTTACATGCATAACAGCATTTGATGGTATTATAATACAAGGCATGATAACAACAACAACAAGCTATTTATTTTCCATAAATCATTTTTACAATTGTATTATATAATAATAATAGTAAATGGTAATATCATAACAGTAAATGGTAAATATAATAAAAATAAAAATAGCAACAATAATAACAATGTTAATTATTAAAATAAAAGTAAAATATTTTAATTATAAAATTATAATATTAATACAAATTTTAAACAAAAATTGTATTTAAATAAAAAATTAATACAAATTACAGTCATAATAATATTAAGTATGTTTACAATAACAACAATGAATAATAAAATAATAATAAATATAGCAATGATAGTTAAAAGCATAATATTATTTATAATAATAATAATTAATGATTCATAAGGATGTCACTCATACAGAAGTTTGATCAAAGAAGTGACATCAAAAATACTGATGGTGATAAATGCCAAGAACATACCAAACTTCTTTATTAGTCTTGAACTAGGCCAATCTTCATAATTTATATGGGGCAGCTGAATTTTGATATTAAGTCCAATATTGAACAGTGTCATTTACTAAAGTTAGTCTAACGTTTAGTCTCTATTTCATGGGTCTGATTTTTTTATTTCTCTCCAGAATAAAGCAAAGTTATTTGCAAAGAAATCTTACCTAATTTGACTCTTGAACCTAATGGCCATACTCTTCCTGACAGTTAAACAGATTAACCCATTGTTAAACATTGAAATTACTCTTGCTTCTATTGCTAAAGTTAATTCTCAATTAAATACTTTTACAGTTAGTGCATACAAGATTTCAATCATAGTCTTAAAAAAGTGTTCTCCAGAAATCTCTTCAATTTTTGCTAAACTTTTAGCGCTAAATAGTGGTTCCAATTTTTAAAAACTCTAGAAAACACTTTGACCTATAATGTTTTTTGTTCTCCAGCCGAAAAAAAGAATTTATTAACAACTAATTTCATTAACTGACATTATTAATTATAGATATTTGATGAACTGTTAAATTTTTTTATTATAAAAATTTTTTAATTACACTGATTTAATTTAAATTTTCAAAATATCGTAAGGTGCGTTAAAAAACATACCATATTTGGTATTTCCTAATTTATGTGTCGCATTTGGCATTTGTCTCTTAACATGGAAAATTAAAAAACTAACAAAATTGACAAATAAACATTTTCCACTAAACGCTACAATAATACACAATATGCAACCTTTAATCATAATAATTAATATTTTGTCATAATATTTACAATTTTGTAAATAAAATAAAATATGAAATACATATTTTTCAAAATAAATTTAACTAAATATATTCTCACATGGCTAAATAAGATAAATTTTGTTAATATACGAAAACAGCTGATGAAAATATTAATAAACAATAGACAATTAGTTTGGAAAGTTAGACAAGAAAACTTTGTTTTTTCTCTTATATATTTTCCATACTATGAGAAAAAATACATTTCTAGGGCTTTTTTTGGTCTTAAAATTAAACAACACAATATCGCATAATTTTAAGAGCTCTTTGTTTATTGCTTAGTCGTTCTAAGTAAATAAGTAAATTTAATTCAAGTTTATATTTCAATATTTAAAGTTGCAACATAATAAAAAAAAAGATGTTTAATGTTGAACTTTTTATTTGGCCATTTATTTTTTACCTACTTTTGATATAAATAGACTTTTCATTAAAATCATTTGTTTTGAATATATTTCAACATGATTATTTAAATTAAGTTTTTTTGTTTGACTTCCCAAACTTCATGCAAAGCAAATTCTACGAAATATAGTCTAACCAAATAAAAATGCTGTTATTAATTTTATACAGGTAATTAATATAAAACAATTTTTTAACAGAATCTTGATTGAGATAATAAATACTTCATCATTAATTAACATTAAATATAGCGTAATAATGATTTATAGCAACAAACAAGCATAAAATACTTGAGGTTTTTATTATCTTTTTAATTGTTAAAATTAAATAATAAATAACTAAACAAATAATGAAAAAACTTATGAATTTAAATAAATAAAAACTTTTCAAAAAGTTTCATTTGTCAAAAGTCTAACGTGATGTCAAATACTAAAACTTTTATGAATTAAATGCGCTTCAAAGGAATTACCGAAGTCTGAAGATTGCGACATAGAATTCAAAGATTTTTTGAGTAAAAAGATGAGTTTCGACTGAAACGACAAGTTTTTCACTGGCGAGTTTCGACTGAAACGACTAGTTTTTCTTGCTATGCATTCATCATTTATTTTTAATAAAAAAAAACTTGGTTCAAACCATTTTTTTCAACATTATCTTTAATATGAACACAATATGTGTTGGGAGTTTGGGATCCCTGTAAATTATATTTTTTTAACTGCAGCAGTAAAGTTATTCTTGAAGGTCTACCCTCTTCTTTATTTCAAGTAACTTTAAGGGCATCAGAAGGTCCTATCTTTGCTCCTGTATTGTTTCTTATCTACAATAACGATCTTCATGAAATCTAAAGTGGCTTTATTTGCTAACAACTCAACTTTAACCTCTTGTCTTGACAAAAAATCTTCACTTTTTAATTGCTTAGAATAAGCAGCCAATTTTTAATCTGATCTCTCTTCTGTAACAGCCTAAGGCTTGCAATAGCTTATGGATTTTAATTCTGGACTTGAAATCCACAATTATTGTTATATTAGGGCAATTCTCTATTGACGAATAACAACCCTCTTACTCTAAGAAAATTCTAAAAGCACATTGTAAATGTAATTAGACCTGCTTTATCTGCTAAGCTTGAGGCATTCTCCCATTGTTGTAAGGTTGTATTTCTTTTTTTTTATTCTACAAATACAATCATGGTCAATGTTTAAAAGAACTATCATCTCTATAACGATAAACCAAAACTCATTCTTGCTTGTCTTTTTATTCAACAAGTTGCATCCTTTTACTGAATCTGTCCCTTGATGCTATAAAAACTTTTATTAATCCAGTTTTTTTCCTTGAACATCAAAAAACCATTATTATAATAAAAACGATAATTTATAAAAGACGTAGTATCTAACCACATTAGATACCACGTCTTTTATAAATTATCGTTTCCTGATCAAGCTTTTTATAAATTTTCAATTTTTTTTTTTCAATTTCAAATTTCAATCACAAAATTAATTGAATCAGTGAATTTTATGGCTAAAGTTCTCTTGTTCTAATAGATTTCTTTTTAAATAAATTTTCATGAAAACAACTTGCGTATTTATAGAAAATGTTTAGTCTAGATGTCGGGTATAAATAAAATGAAAATATAAAAAAATGGTGTGGCGTTTTTCATTTTCTATTCGACAATTTCATTAAAATAATTATTAGTTAAAAGCTTATA